ATAGCTACAATTTCTAAGAAGCCTATTCTATAGCAGTTGAAAAAGGAGTTGACAGCTCATAATTCATAAAGTTACCGAGGCTAATCTCATAGAACAAAATGTACAAAACTCCTTCCCATGGTGCGGGCACTGCCACTTCCTGTTCAGCCCGACAGAGAAGCGGTGGCTGTGGGGGGGAGGGTGTGTGTGTGTGTGTGTGTGTGTGTGTGTGTGTGTGTGTGTGTGTGTGGAGGGGGGCGGCACAGACAGGGTCTTCTCTGAGATGCTGATGGCAGAAAAGAGCACCCCACAGCGAAAGCAGTGCCTTCCCCGCTGCCCGGCCACCAGACTGAGTCACGGGGACTTTTTTCATTAACAACATCCCAGGTATTTCCATTTATAGAAAATCAACATTTCCCCACCATTCCCACTTGCGGCCAGGAAGTTTCAGCTGTGTCCTGTCTGCAGGACACCGCGTTTCCACTAAGAGCTAAGGTGTTGATTAAAACGCCAGGCTGGTTACCTCCCACCCAGAGTCGGGCTGCTTTTACTTTTTCTCTTCTCGCAGTTAGCTCCTTGGTATCGACTTGACCACTTCACCCCCATGGACTTTTAAGCAGTTATTATGATGTGCACACTCCTCAATTGTCCCCTCCCAGCTAGTTGGCTTATTCTGAGAATCTCTGGTGGAACAAGGTCAGATGTAATCAATATCTACTTAATATTTTCTACAATTCTAGCTGTAGTGCTTCCTGGTAGTGCAGTTAAGGAAAAAAGAAAAAAAAGATTAGCCTGACAAAAATAACTGCCCGTAACTTAGGGCTGATTCCAAATGGAGGTGTTTTGAAGAGGATGTGTTGATACACTACATCTTCTGCTTCAACTGACTCATTTAACATTCTTAACGCCATAACCAAGCTAAGTCCATCCGCTTCTTTAATGAAGAGGTGGATGCATTTTTGTTCATTTATCTGATGAACATGGCTTCTTTTGAAATAGGAAAATGTATTAGCCCACCAGAATTAATGGCCTGGAACAGAGGTGGTAAAAACATATTGCTTGATTTCTTTCAAACCGTGGCCTTCATGCTATTAAGGTTGCGTTTACTTTTATCTCAAGATTGTTTGCCTTTATTATATGGAGATAGCACAGTTTTCTTCCTGTGATTTTTTTAAAAGGTTTTATTAATGAAGAAGTCTGACTTACAAGCTTGTTTTCTCATGTATTTCTCCCATTTTATAGAGAATTTTCCGTTCGGTATTTGAGTCTTTCATCTTTCTTGCCCATTCCACACACAATCCATTTCTCTCTTGCTCTTCCCCTTCTGATAGCCTAGTCACTGTATTATTATTTCATTTTTATTATCTATTTTACATGAATGAATGTTTTGCCTGCCTGCATGTCTGTGTACCACAGGCATATACTGCCCTCAGAGACCAAAAGAAGACATTGGGTTTGCTGGGACTGGAGTTATAGTCATGATGAACTGTCATGTGGGTACTGGGAACTGAACCCGAGTCCTCTGGAAGAGAAGCCAGTGCTCTTAACCACTGAGCCATCTTTTCAGACCCTGGGTTATTATATTATTTACTGGACCTCTCCTCCACCTGATGATTCACAAAGAGTCCTTCATATTTTGCCAAATATGATAAGTTGGCCAGTTATTTTTAGCTGAATAAACCCAATGACATTCTTGAGGAAGAATGTGCTTAGTTTAGCCTTATGAGAAAAATATTTAATAAATGCCGTCTTGAAAATATTTAGCCTGGCTGAGTGGGCTGGCAAAATCTCAAACCTGATAAAGCAGAAGCGGTGGTGAGAGCCGGCCCACCACCCCAAGCCCGGTTTGAACAAACATGCTCCTTGTCACCAAGGCCTGTAAATGTTGCGAGGGTCATTTGCATGAGTCTCTTGGAGAGCTCTTTGCAGTCTCTGCCCTTGGCTGTGTAGCCTCCAGAATGCACAAAGTGGACCTCCCAAGACAGCAAGCTGGATTCGTTCAAGTCAGTTTGCCATTTCCTGCTGTAGTGACTTTGGGCCAATGGCCTCATTTTTTAAAATCTTACTTTCCTCATCTGTAAGATGGGGGCAATTAGAGGACCTCCTAAGGCTCTTCAGATTCTCGAGGAGAAAGTGTCAAGCAGTTTCTCACACTAACTGTTTAATGCTTGGAAGCCATTGGTAGCCGTGGTGACTGGCCTCCACTGCTTCTCCAATGCCCCATCTCTCTGCCTGCTCTCCAAACCACACACCAAATCGAAGGAGTCTTTTCCTTGGCTGGAACTTACCTTGGGACCTCAGTCAGGTGGTGACTCATGTCATCCTTCCTCACAGTTGAGGTCCTTTGTCCCCGAGGTCCATTGTAACACCAACCTATGAAGAAGTGCATGTAGGCAAGTTATCAGTATCAGGAACCAGAGCGTCTAGCTCTTAGCATGCTTTTCTTTCTACAGTTGGTACACTCATCCTCAATTCTTGCTCCTGGAAAGTGTGGTCTGAGATCTTGCAGCATGGGTATCACCTGCAAGCTTGTGAGAAATGCAGAATCCCAAGCCCTCCGCCACATATACTTAAGAACTGTCGGTAGGCATGTGAAGGCTTGGACAGCACTCCCGTAAATCACTGTCAGAAGCATCCTGACACACAAAGGTGTTTACTAAATACTTAAAGAGTTTGTATTTTTACTGACTTTTCCTAGACAGAGGGACTTTTTTTTTTTCCACTTTACATATGGTTGCTGATATGTGAACTCAGATTATCATAGAACTTTAGTAAGTTCTGGTAACTGGGTGAAGACCTAGTCTAGGAGCCTCTTCCTGGCTTGGACATGGCCTCCTTCCATGCATCTTCCCCTGGAAGGGTGAGAGCACAAATCTCATTATGAAGGACCTACCCCCATGACCTCTAAACTCAATAATCTTCCAGAGACTGTCTCTGAGTATCATCACTTTGGGGGTATGTGCTGGTATCTCAGAGGGCTTCAACCTATGAATTATGGGGAACATGATACAGTCCATGGCAACTAATTTCTGCCTCTTACCTTGAGATGCACCAAAAATATTTATAACATTTTTTTGGCAAAATACTAATTGTAGAGTCTAGGTGGAACATAGCCAGGCATTCGCTGACCAATTCATTCAAGTTTCCAGTATGTAAATGTCAGAGAAAAGGCCTGGGTACCTGGGGTTCCTAGGATGGGACTTGGGGGTTCCTTTTTGCCTCTAATTTCCATCCATGCTTTCTTAAAACTCTCAGTACTGTTCAGCTGGACCACTCTGCCTCTTTGGCAATTTTTCCTTCTCAAGCTCCGTCCACCCTTAGCCAGCCAGCACCTGCTTCTGCGTGGTCAGTGGTTCCTAGCCTAGATCAGACGTCTTTCTGGCCTGCGATGTCACTGTGATAACGTTCTGTCCCATCCATTTCCTCTATATCGCCTTTGGGGCTTCTCAAACCACTTCTTATGACCGGGCTTCACTGTAGGTAGCATTTGTAACATGTTTTACAAGTTTGACTATGAAATTGATTATCAGATTTATGTGGGAGAGACATGAGCATTGCTGTCAGCTCCCAGCCATCTAGTTCTTCTGTATTCCCCTACCTCCATCTGCTGTCAACGGGGGCTCCTATTGCTTCTCTATGCACAGTGCTGGTTATCTGTACATCACGATAGTGTGAGAGCCGAGGAGAACGTATTTACTGTCTAGCTGGGGGAGGATATACACACGCTGATGCCGCCGTCAAAGTGGCTGTGCTTAAACCCACCAGTAAATATTATGGACGTTGCCTTATGGCATTGAGTATCACATGTCTTATGCAGCTCTTAACTGCAGCTACCACTGACACTTGGGAACCTTGAAAGGAAATTGTGGGAAACATCATAGGTTTCTTTCCCTAGCCAGAGACCGATGGATGAGAGAATAGGCCCGAGCTGAACGCATGTGCACTACTTAGGAGGTTATGACATTGCCCAAATGACTTAATTTCTCTACATCTGTTTCCTTGCCTTTAAATCACGAATAATAAAGACTAGACATCTTTGAACTGCTGTGAAAAATAAATAAGAGCATGTGTGTGAAATAGTGTGGGGACACGGCTCCTAGCTGGTGTCATTAGCAGTCCTTCATTCACTCATTCAACAAAGAGCCAAGTGCCCACCATGTGCACGAAATGTGATTATTTTTTTCCCCCTCTCTCCCCATCCCCATCTCCCCATTCTTTCCTTTATGGGACATCTGAGTCATGCTTCAGATGAAATCTTTCTAAGCCAACGGACCAAAAGACCAACTTCCTTATAAATCACTGGCCTCTGAAATTCCTTGGACTCAACTATAATTTATTTTCTGGGTAGGAAGTGTGTGAGTGAGTGAGTGAGTGAGTGAGTGAGTGAGTGAGTGAGTGTGTGTGTGTGTGTATGTGTGTGTGCATGCGCTCACTTTCTTCCCTATTTACCTCCTGCTCAGCATTTTAATTTGCTGTGCACTGTGAGTTGTCATCTTTACATCAGATTCCAATTTAGGTGATAAGGATCACAATTAATTAGCCTGCCTGTCAGAGATTAAGTGTAACCTTGTGTGGGCTTCGGTATTCTTTCTAGTCACTTGAAGGCTTTAGCAGAGGCAGAGCTGTGTGCCTACTTGTTCTTCATAAGACCTTTGCCTGCCATTTCTTTCTGCCAGTCTGTAATGTAGAAATAAAAGTAAGTGGGTGGAGTCTCCCATTCTCCCCTTGCCTTCAGAGCTGTGGAGCAGAAGGGATAGGGGAGGTGGACACAGCTAGGAAGAACTAAGGAGTTCAGGGTAGCTAGCTTCAAGGACTTGCAGACTTCTGTTTAAGTCTGTGGGCAGTTTTGAAAAATTCCATGTTAGCAGTTACCTCTGAAAACAATGTGGCCATGCCTGAATATTTCATTTCCTATCAGTTCCCAGTTTTCATTGCCTGTACTTTTATCTTCCCGCTCCTTCAAAGAAAAACCCATCTTGTTTCTGGAAGCTTAGTATAATTTATTGCACCATCATCCCAACTTAGTTTTTTCCTTCATATTCAGAGAACTGAAGTCAAATAATTCAAACAGATTAGTATTATGGTCCTTACTGGGAGAAAGTCTGATAAACTAAAAATAATATAATATTTGAGTTGACTTCTAAAGGTACCAAGTATTTATAGAGCAAGAGGCAAAATGTTAATATCTACTCCATCAGGCATTCCCCCCTCCTTTAAGAAGTACTAAGAAAAATGTCTTAATATTGTAGATAGTTCTGGTCTTAAATTTTGTCATCAGGAATGAATATTTAAAAATCTATTAATGAGGCTGGAGAGATTGCTCAGTAGTTAAGAACATTGTCTGCTCTTGCAGAGGACTTGAATTCAGTTCCTGGCACTCACATGGCAGCTTATAACCATCAGTAAATCCAGTTCCAGGGGAATCCAACGCCCTCTTCTGGCCTCCTTTGGCACCAGGCACACAAGTGGTTGCATATATTGACTGACAGACAAACATTTATACACGTAAAAACAAAACCTTTTAAATCTGTTAATCATAGTAAAGATTTCTTGAAGAATTCCCTTGTTAATAACGATTGTGCTTTCTACATCCTGAGTACTGTGTCCACTGAGGGTATGTTGTTCACTAATCATGACTAACTCATAAAATTACTCCCATTTTACAGATGAAAAAACTCAGGTCCAAGTTAATTAACTTGTCCAAGATTACTGTCAGGAAGTGGTACCACAAGGATGGAAACCCATGTCTCTGTGCTTTTCATCATAATAGCAATACTGATGAAACCAGTGTGTACCAAAATTAACGAACCCACAGTTTCTTTTTTTTTTTTTACTTTGTTTTTATTTTTTAGTGTTAACTATCTTGCTCAAAGAGCACACCAGCTTCTGATGTGGTTTGCAGCTCACAGAGCTAAGCAAGTTTGAAGTCCAAGGTATTAGCTGTCACAGGTAGATAGTATGAACGAGCTTATAGAGTTTGTTTAAGAAAAAAATTGAAGTTGCTTTGATTTGTGGCCACTATTTTTTTTTTCTTTTGAAGTCACAAGAGAAAATTGTTTCAGACAGAAATAAAGCTTGGATTCAGCAAGTCCATAGACAATTTAACATCTTGATTTAATATCAGTTCCCATTTGCATATATCCTTTCTTTCCTGTGTATTTCGAGTTACATTTTGAGTGGTAACGAGCAGTTTTTTACACATTTCCAAGCTGCTCCCATTAGGAATGAAATCCTTGGCTTGGGGAGTCTCTGCCGTTTTGATGTTTCTCCTTAAACTTTCCACTCAGTCCTGCCAGGCACCAACTTTAAAATGTCTTTTTTTTTTTTCTTTCTTTTTAATTTTTTTTTTTAAATGGAGAATGCCTCCAAAAGGTGCAGCTGTGTGTTGGTTTCATCTTGCACTTAGTGGTGTTGGCACCACTTAGAGCACACAATGCTCCTATCTCCCACACACCGCTGGTGCCCAGGAGTGTTGAGGCTTGCCCCAGTAAGTAGTTTGGGCAGGGCTTCAGTTTGGAGAGAGTCTCTTCTGTTCTGTGTGATTGGTTGTCACCAGGGCCTGCAGAGAGAGCAAAGAGAAAATGCAGCCTCCGTTGAAGCATGAGTAATTTCTTCTATGACCTAGGGCTCCCTGGTTCACCGGAGTTCTTGTGAGTGTGGAAGGCAGGCTGACCCTGACCGCGTCTGCCTTTCCTTAGAAATTATACATGGCTTAGATTCCCCCCTTTCAGACCTTTTGGCTGTTTTCACATTGTTTCTTTTTCCTTGCACAACCTTGACTGCTTCCAGTGAAAAATGATTTGGCTAAGTGAGAAACTGGGCTTGGATGTGCCAGGAAGTCCACAGATGTTTCCAGATGCTTGAGAATGAACATGGTTCCACAGACCTGAGACAATGCATTATGTCGAGTTTCCGAATCAAAGTACATTCTTTTTCAGGTCAAAAATATCTGGAAAAAATCACATGAAATGGAATTTATATGTAAAATTTACAAGTTCATGCTGCTAATTTGCATTTTGCTTGCTAGCCCCAACCTATATGTTCTGTAGTTTTTTTAAAACTAACTTTTGGTACCATTAGGACTTATCAGACTATGATATGATGTTTCATTATGGACTACTCAACAACTTACCAAGCTTAGTCATCCCCAGTAGTTGCTGCTTCCTGCTGGAATCTCCTATGATGAAATCTAATGACAGGTCTAGTATATTGAATGGAATTAGAGAATAGTTGGGTTTCGGATTATTGAGGAAAATAACATTTGTTTTAGAATGCTGTTTAGAATTCAAGTGATAATCTCATTGTTTAAAGCCGGCGACAGGCACTTGCCATATTACCTGTGTCTGAATATTTCAGAGAGGAAGTGCAGTGAGTGAGAGACCTTATACTAAGGAATAGGAAATCCTGGAATTGTTGTTCTTTTGATTGTCTCACCTTGTAAATGTTGCCTTTGAAAGTTTCGATTGCAAAATCTCGATCAGCTTTGGTGATTGATGCCTTTGCACAGTAAAGCTTCTTCCGTCTTAAAAAAAAAAATTCAGCTGGACGTTCACGGGACACAGTGCAAACCGGAGAGCTCCTGCTTCCTACACATGTGTACAGTGGTTTGAAAAGGCCAGTGTTCCCGCAGATGTTTGGTGGCCATGGCCATCACAGTGGCTTTCAGAAACATCAGTATGAGTGAAACAAAGGTACTTTGTAGCTCAGGATAACCAAAGACGAACAAAAACATCTTTGCCAAGGAAATGTAGGAAAGACAAAGGAAAACAAGACAGTTCGACTCTTTTTTTCTTTTTTCTTTCTTTTCAGCTGTAGTAGAGAGAGGCTACGTGTAGCCCTTGCCGAACCAGCAACTGCTGGGTGCATATTTCAATCACAGTTATGTGAAATTTTTAATTATCATTTAATTTAGTTTTCATATTTGCCTGCTGAAGTGATCCTGCTGATAAGATTTTGGAAAGAGATAAACTTTATTAAGCAATTCCGATCTCAGTGCCAGTGGGTGGTTGGTTTTTTGTTTTGTTTTTTTAAAATCATAAAAAATGCTTGTGTTATATGTGAATGAAAGGGGAATGATTTAACAAGTTAGTTGCATGAGTGCAGTGTGGGTATTCATACTTGGGTAATTACTGCTTAGCTGTGGGCTTTTGGGTTTGGGGCTGTGCTGGGGTTCCTTAGCAGGAAAACACGGTACTGAATCCGGCTTGACAGCATTTCTTTACTCCACTTCTCTACCTCCCGTTTCCCTTCTAGTACGTACATGGATGGGATGACCTTCGTTTTGTTCAGTGGAGGAGGGAAGGTATTTGTGGGAGAGGATACTGTTGTGAGCTGAAACATGAGAGCCAAGGGAAGTGGTTTATAGTTTATCAAAGGAAATGAAATGGTGTGCCCTTTGCTGCTGCTGCTGCTGTGTGTGTGTGTGTGTGTGTGTGTGTGTGTGTGTGTGTGTGTGTGTGTGTGTGTACTTCTAGTCAATGTCCTGCTGGGTAGCCTGGGCTATCTTTTAGCTTATGGTCTTCCTGTTGTAGCCTCCCACATGATGGATTACAGGCTTATACTTCCATATCAGCTTTTTTTTTTTTAAATTTTATAGTGCTTTTAGTTAAAATGATTATAAGCCTTTAATAAATACATTTATATTATAAGCACTTTT